CATCCAAAATTATTCCAAACAGAGGAGTAGGCACACCAAAACAAATACAGGCTAAGCAGTCCAAAAAACAAAGCAAAAGGAAAACCAAGGGCATTAAACAGCTGCTTGTAGAACCTTTCAACCAAAAATAGCATCTGTCGAGACAGGCTATCGACCTCAGAATAAATGTATAAAAGACCTGGTCATAGTCTTACAGATCTGAAATGCAGGGGCCTGGTGATAAAAAAAAAATCAAGAAACATCCATTGTCCCAGTGAAGTGGGATTTAAGGGGAAAAAAAAGATCTGCAAAATAACTTTTTGCATACACTTAGAAATAGTGGATCTAGAACCACCAGAATAACAGAACAGTAATCAATCTGTCTGGAATAAGCAGAGGCAAAAGGGTAAACCCTGACAGCCCTCATCACATCCAAGCAATGTAAAGAGATTTCCCTGGGGTGATCTGGTGCTGGATACAGGAAAAATAACACATAATTTTCATTAGGGTGAAAAGAAGAGGCCACCCTGAACAAAATGGAAGTAATTTGTCTCAAAATCACCTTCTCTATACTGTATGTAAAATAAAATAAGACTCCATACAGGACAAGGCTGCTAACTCAGAAACCCTTCCAGCTGAAATGATGGCAACAAGAAAAGCTACCTTATGGGATAACAAGGGCAATAGGTCAAAGAGAGCACCAAATGAAAAAGATTCTTAGGGTCAAAGTCTTTATTGTTTAAATGGTTACAACAACCTGGACAAAAGACAGAAACATGTTAGTTGTATTTTGCCCTGCTTGTTGTAGCCAGTTGAACTCCTCTCCTGGGAGATCCCTGTCTTTGCAGTGAGTTGACAAATATAGGCCAATTTGGCTCAAGTAATGAAGTTTTCCACATTTTGATAACCTGTCAAAATCAGTGTGCAGTTCCTATCTACCACTAGCAGCTGAACCTATGAGATGTCAAAGAAGGTCTCAAATAGGTTTGAAGGGGGGATCTTTGTAACAATGACCTTGAATTATATTTAAATTTCATGGTTGGAGCAGAGATTTAACAAGAGGAGTGATGTATACAAGTACAAATCTTAGAATTATTAACACGAGGACATTACAAAGGAATGGACAGGTCAGACACCTGACCATTGATGGTGCTAAAGGTCCGTCACTGTTTTAAGTTGTATCTCTAATTGAAGATTATAAATGTTGCAGAAGTTGATTTTCAAGCTTTAGGCATGAACATGATATCTGAATCTTAAATGACTATTTCTCAGAACCTTAGTTTCAGCAGTCAGGCCGTAAAAGCCAGCAAACAAAATTAGGGTGGAGGATAGCACTTTGAGATAACATATCTGGCTGAACTGGTAGAGGCCAAATAACACTGACAAACAGTGTCACCATACCACATTCCTTAAGGCCAATCTGAAGCTGGGAGATTGAATAGGATGTCCCTAGCCTTGCTTTTTTAACTTAGACAAGGTAAAAACATTAGTGGAGAAAATATCATAGATTAGGGCATACTGATTCCATGGCACCACCATGGCATCTGCTGCATCCGCTGTTGGGTTCCCCCATTCTGCAGAAAAATCTGCCTAACTTCATGTTAAGCAGACAAATGCAGACAAATGTCCTGAAATGCCTCCAGATGAAGAGAGACTGTTTCCCCTGATCCAAATGCTATCTGCTGAGAACATCAGTCAGTCAATTCTCCAACCCAGATATAAGCACTGCAAAGATCACTGAAACATTAATCTCAGCTTAGAATAGGTCGCCCACTGCAACATTACTGGAGCCCTCCTGAAGACTGATGTAGGCTTCTGCTGCAGCAACATCTGACTTAACTCAGACCAGATAACTGGTTACTATGGTCTAGAGAAATAATGACAAATACATTTGTGAAAACTTTAGGATGTTGATTGGAAATGGTGATTCTTCCTTAGGCCAACTGACCTGAAGAACAGCTCACCTAGAATTCAATGCAACCCAACTGGTGTACATCAGAATAATCTTTCATTGTAAGCAGAGAAAACAATTTGCCCCAGCGTCATCTACTTCTCCTAAGGTAGAAATAATTTAGCCTAAAGGGTATCCAGGGGAAAGGCCATGTGCTTCAAGTGATGCAATGGAATCAGAGATGACTTCTCAAGGTTCAGGAACCAACATATGTCCTCCAAGGTCAATCAATCAATGCCACGTTGGAGTCCAAAGTCAAAAAGGTCTGTTCTCACAGTAGCAGATCATCTGAAAATTAATGACTGGAATACCTCAGAGAATAAGAAAGCCCAGAATTGGCATGAGGCCCTCTGTGAACATTCTTGGAGTCAATACAAGTTCTAAAGGAAAGAGCCACAAAATGATACCAGTTGTTGCTCACAGCAAAACAAAGAAAAACACTGCTGACTTGGAAAGATGGGAATGTTTATATACACATCCCTTGAGACTATTGATGTCCAGAGGTTTCAGCAGTGAAGGGAGGCAATAACAGCATATTCCATCAGACATTTTTGAGGCTGTACAAAAGGCACTGAGGACCTTTAACTCTAATATGGGATGAATGCTTTTGTATTTCAGAACGGAAAACAGATTTGCCTAGAAAAATTGAAACTGTCCAGTTGGGGTGCAGGAATGATAACCCCCTGGGTAAACAGTCCTTGAATGGCTGAAAGGATGTCCACTCAATGTTGCTGTGGCATGGGCAGATGAGAAGCAAAGAAATTAAGTGACAGAGGTGAAACTCTATTTTGCAACATTTTGATACTACCTCCTACACCCATTCATTGACTATGTGCACTTTCAAAATTTTTGCTAAAGCCATCAGATTCCTTCAGCCTCTGATGAAACTGGTGGGGGAAGACCTTCATGCAGCATCAAATTAATTTGCAGGCTTTGGTTTGCCATGGGTGTTTATAACCCCTTAAGTCTGAAGAGTTTTGAGAGAAGGTTTAAACCTGACTTAGAGGAACAAAAGGAATGTTTTGAAGAAGTATGGGAAAGTGTTGACATACTCTTCTGATCTTTTGTCTGCATACCTGAGGCAAGTAAATACTATTATTCCTTGTGGTGTAACTAATTATTCAGTCCAGCAAAATGCCAAAAAGACAGTCTTCTAAGAAAACTAAGCATAACAAGAGCTTCCTAAATTCTTGCTTCACCATCTAGCTGTCACGGTGTAAGGTCAGGTTCAGAGACCAGTTGCTATAGCAGTAAAAGGCTTACCTGGAACCAGCAGGATAGGTACACCAGCGGATCCCCCTGGGAATGATGCAGGCTCACCTGAGGTGCGGGGTCTAAGTATTAACCGGTATTCACCAGAGCTCCTAATGGTGGAGATGGATTGGGCTGCGTGTTAATACCAGGTCGCAGATCTCAGGATCACCCCACCAGAGAATGAGCAGACTGGAAACCAATAGCGGATCAACAGGTTAGGGATCAGACGAAAGCAGAGTCGGTCACAAGCCAAGGGTCGGTCACAAATGGTAGCAGATCAATGATAGTACGTTAGGATGAGACAAAATCGTGGTCAGGAACAAGCCAAAGATCAGTAGCGGAGGTGTAGACAGCAGCAGGAACAGTAGAGGGATATTGGCTGGAAAGGCACAATAATCTGGCAAGGAGGAAGTCCAAGGACATGGCTTATATAGGAAGTCCATGGGAGGAGCAAGGAGTTCAAGGTTCAAGAGCAAACAAGGCAGGATTATCCAATAGAAGAGGCAGAGTATTGTCCAGCATCCTAGGTAGCTCAGTGAGAAGAGTTACTGCCTGACACAGTAGAAGTCCCAGGTTCAAGTCCAGGCCCTGACACTAGCACTTACGCTGGGGTGATCTGCAGATGTAGAATAAAGAAAGAGTTACTCAATACATAACCTTGCTACCCTCCAGTGCCATATCACACAGAATGTTCAATGCAACAATCATCTGGACAATACAATCAGTGGGATGAATGCTAATGCCATTAACAGCCAAATCTATGCTAAGAGATTTGACAAATCAACCAAAGACTGAGAAATTAATGTGGAAGAGAGCATGGGTTGAAAAGTAGAGTCCACAAAGGTGTAAATGGATAGAAAAAATTGCTTCCAGCTTTTTGACCATAGGATCTGTAAAGGAATGAGCCCTTTGTATAGGAATAGTCAAGGATACAGTAAAGGGGGAAAGAATGGTGCTGACTGAAATCTGGCAAAATCTCTTCTTCTAGGAAAGAGAGGGACTCAGAGTCCAACAATAAAACTTCTGTTTGGTGTCTGATGGAGCACAAATAGTCACCCCTGACCACAGAATCATCACAGAGAAGTACTCCAGTATAATTAATGATATGGGAAAACTTGTGATTGTTGGCTTACTGGAGAAACTTTCAGAAATGTCAACATCCAGCTAAAATTCACTAGTAGCTGTTGATAGTAGAAACGTATAACTCAAGAAAAATATATAGCAGGAAAGAAAGTGACACACATTATCCTAAGAACAAAAAGCAAAATTGAGCAGGCATCACCTTAAGGTGGCTCACTTTCAGGTCTCTATGTGCCTGGTGTTCATTACTGTTGTAGGTGCCCGTATAACCCTACCACAGCACCCCAGCAATATGATAAGAATTCACACCTTTGACCATGTCCATGTAGGAATTAACATCTATGTGTAAGCAAAGCCAGATTCTCAGCAGCCGAGGGAAACCAGTGTGGTCATATGTGTATGTGCATTATGCTGCCCATACGTCTGTGCATAAGGGAAATGCATGTGTGCAAGAATTCACATGCACAATCGACACTTGTTTTGGTGCTCAGTGGATTATACATACAGTGCTTAGCATAAATGAATATACCCCTTTTGAACAGTAGGATTTTAATCAATATCTCAATGAACAATATCCAACATTTTGACAAAACTGAGTTTTATAGAACATTTGTTTAGCTCATAACATAATAATAATACTTAGGATAAAAAAAATCTTCAGTATTATTTAACTTAGTTGCTGCAAAAACGAATACACCGCAGAACAAAAACTAGTACATTGTGTATTTTGTATGACCTCCATGATTTGTAAGGATAGCACCAAGTCTTCTAGGCATGGAATGAACAAGTTAGAGACATATTGCAACATCGATCTTTTTTCCATTCTTTGAGAACGACCTCTTTTAGAGCCTGGATGCTGGATGGAGTGTGATGCTCAACTTAACTCTTCATAATTCCCCATAGGTGTTTGATTGGGTTCAGATCAGGAGACATACTTGACCACTGAATCATTTTTTACCTTGTTTTTCTTCAGAAATGCAACAGCAGCCTTAGATTTGTGTTTTGGATCATTGTCATGTTGGAAAATGCACGACGACCAAGGGCACGGAGTAATGGTAGCATCTTCTCTTTCAATATAGAGCAGTACATCTGTGAATTCATGATACTATTAATGAAATGCAGCTCCCTGACTCCAGCAGCACTTATGCAGCCCCACAAAAGGACACTGCCAACAACAATGTTTCACTGTAGGCACCATGTATTTTTCTTTGTACTCCTCACCTTTGCAATGCCATACAGTTTTTGAAGTCATCAGTTCCAAAAACATTTATCTTGGTCTCATAACTCCAGAGTACAGAGTCCCAGTAATCTTTTTTCAGCATGGGCCCTAGCAAATTTTAAGCAGGCTTTTTTGTGCATGGGCTTTAGAAGAGGCTTCCTTCATGGACGACACCGATGCTTGCTATTCCTTTGCAGTGTACACCGTATTGTGTCATGGGAAATAATCACCCCAATTTGGCTTTCTACTTCTGTAGCTAACTGCAGTGAACTTTCATGGCAATTTTCTTCAACCCTTCTCATCAGAAGACGCTCCTGCCAAGGTGATAACTTCCATGTACAGCCTGGACGTCTCTGAGATGGTTGCAGTTCAATCTTTGTTAATTATTTGTATCACTTTTGCTACAGTATTCTGACTTATAAGTCAAGCTTTGCTGATCTTCTTGTAGCCTTCACCTTTCTTGTGTAAAGAAATATTTTATTTTCTTTCTCAGGCCTGGTGACATTTATCTTCCATGTGGTGCCATTGCTGACAGCATGAAATGAGAAGGGTTTTCTTTGTTAAGTAACACCCTTGTATAATCAACTGTCTGCTGGACACCTGTTTAATGAATAATTAGACTCACCTGTAGTTGAATTCTTGTTATTTAGGATTTTGTTGTCTAAAATGTAACTTTGCTCCTAAGACTTTCATTGGGGTGTATTCATTTTTGCAACATGGTCTTGAATGAATTTGTGGGAGTATTTTGTAGTATAGTGTCCCATAGAAAATGTTGATTCTGAAAGGAAAGTAAAGGTTTTCTGACACATCTGTTCGGGTGTACTCATTTATGCTGAGCAGTGTATATATTGAAGCACATCATCCTCAAAGCTAAGCAAAAAAATTGAACCATTTGTCACACTATCCTGTTCTACACTGCAGTGCTAGGTCTCTGTGTGCATGCGCCAACTTCCAGCCAATCACAGATGGGGGAATGCATCCACATGCTAGCCAAATCCCTTGTATTCCCAAGTAATTTGCAGTGTTTTCCAGTGCCTCTCAGTATTGTTTCAGTGATCTCATTGTTTCCAGTGTCCATCCAGTCTATAACCTGCTCTTAAGTGTCGCAATATCCTATTGTCCCCAGTGTCTTCAGTTTCCAGTCAGCATACAGTCTTGTCTACTCCTACCTGAGAACCCAAACTTGTGTCTGTGATCCTCATGATTCTCTGTCTGTTTCGTACTCCAGTGATTCCATGGATTCCTTCCAGCATCTAGTCTTCCTTCACTTCTATACTGTTGTCTTTTCCTGCTTGTCTGCACCAGTGTGTTTCTGTGTAAGTCTTGGTCAGCCCCTTGTTATCAACACCTGTCCATTTCCAGGCTTCCCAGGTGTTTCTCTCTTTTGCCTTTGTGTGTGGTTCTGTTCACTTCTACTGTGTTACCTGCAGTCTAGTGTATTCAGCACCCCAGCGCTTCAAGGGACTCTTTAATTTCTTGTGTGCTTCCAGTGTGTTCTCTGTGCCCTACAAGTACTTGCTCATCAGCACCTGTGTGTTTCCCTGAACAGAGTCACAGAACATTAGACTGCCTAAAGCAGATAAGAATTTGTTTTTGGGATTGAACTTGTTTGTAACATCTAGAAATGTTACATTAGACTGCTTAAGTTAGATAAAACTTGCATATGGTGAGTCTTAGATGCCTTCCCATGCGAAATGGGATGCTCTGACGCTGGGACTGTTGCCAAGGCTATATGAGGCTCATCGATTGGTCGTGTTTAATGGCTTCTACACAATCCCCTCTGCACTGTTCCGATTGGGTCTCCTTCCCGTCTTCCCATAGCTTTAGTAATGTATTAATTCTGTCAAAAGATGTGTGTATCTCATGCTGTAATGCTCACATTATTATTAGTGTGTATTATTATGCAGGTTGTGATGACTATAAGATATATCCTCCTGTGTGTTGTGTGATAATAAGCGTGGAGGTTTTGACAGTGCAAGAATACTGCAGTTGGATTCTGCTATTTCTTGAGGTGCTGAGTGAATGCTATCATGTGCCAGGGCAAGTGTTGGTAGTGGGTCTCTCACATGCTTAGAATAATGGTGTAAATGCTGATTAAATCATATCTGTGTTTTGTTTGTGGCTTGTTCTTGGTGTTTTAGTCCGGCATTGCATTACAGACTGATAGAATAGAATTGGCATATTCTTCTCCTACCAATTCTATTCAAAAGGCAAATGCAAACTGTATCAAATGGGCAAGTGTTAATTGTTTGCTTTCATGGGGTATGAGGGTTATAAAATACTGCACCTGACTTTAAAGTGTTGCTAAACCCAGGACCCTGTATTCACTATATCTGGTCTCCCACAGTACACACAACATGGAAATGCAATTATGTTAGTAGATGTAAACTGCTAAATACCTTTTCTCATTTCTCATCAGCAGTTAGAGCAGTCTTGTAACTTCTATCAGTGTCCAGCCAAGCACATGTTAAAGCTTGTAAGAGAAGTTTTCATATTGCTCTAGGAGGATGCAGGACCCCTGGCCTCTGTCTGGACAGTGCCGATTGGCTCTCTGCTGATCACATGCATCCTCCCAAGAAAAAAAAACACCCCTATAACAATACACACACCAAACTGAACATGCACAGAGTGAATCCACACTATATGTCTTATCAGGAGATAGGAGGGGGACACTGGAAGAAAAGGAGGGAGAGAAGTCAGGATCAAACAGCGTTTTTAAACAATACTGAGGATTAACCCCTTAGGTTCCACAGTGAGTATAACAAGCATGCTTTACTGCATGTACAGACTGATTTTACTGTTGTGGGTTTAGGAACACTTTTATTGTTATTATGAATAACAGCAGGAGGTATTTCAAATGCAAACCAGTATATGCAGCTCTCAGAGAATAGGTGATACCCAAGGAGTATTAAATGGCAAGAACAAAAGTGTCTGTTTGGGAATGAAAGTAATGGACTAGGGTATGTCACGTATGGATGAATGCATTGAGGACACATACGTGCATATATAGATTGGACATATATTCTGAATGTGTGGAGTGTCTATATCCTTGCCAGATTCATGAGAGGAAGAACAATCATCTGTTTGTTGGATATATTAAATGCCACAATTTAGGGGAAAGAACCAGAAGTTGTCTGGAACTTCCTTGAAGGTTGTACACATCCTTTTCACCATTATTATACACTGCTCAAAAAAATTAAAGGAACACTTTCAAAACACATCAGACCTCAATGGGGAAAAATACCATGCTGGATATCTATACTGATATGGACTGGGTAATGTGTTAAGAATGTAAGGATGGCCCCTCGTTTGATGGAAATGAAAATTATCAACCTACAAAAGACTGAATTCAAAGACACCCCAAAAATCAAAATAAAAAAATGATGCCGCAGGCTAGTCCATTTTGCTGAAATTTCATTGCAGCAACTCAAAATAGTACTCAGTTGTTTGTATGGCCCTCATGTGCTTGTTTGCATGCCTGACAACATTAGGGCATGCTTCTAATGAGATGACGGATAGTGTCCTGGGGTATTTCCTCCCAGATCTGGGGCAGGGCATCACAGAGCTCCTGGACAGTCTGAGGGGCAACCTGATGGTGTAGGATGGACCAAAACATGATATTCCAGAGATGTTCTATTGGATTTAGGCGATTATGGGAACCATTCAATGGTATCAATTCCTTCATCCTCCAGGAACTGCCTGCATACTCTCACCACATGAGGCCAGGCATTGTCGTGCACCAAGAGGAACCCAGGACCCACTGTATCAGTGTAGGGTCTGACAATGGGTCCAAAGATTTCATCCCAATACCTAATGGCACTCAGGGTGCCATTATCTAGTCTGTAGAGGTATGTGTATCCCTCCATGGATATGCCTCCCCAGACCATCACTTACCCATCACCAAAACAACCATGCTGAACCATGTTACAGGCAGCATAACATTCTCCACGGCTTCTCCAGACCCTTTCACGTCTGTCACATGTGCTCAGGGTGAACCTGCTCTCATCAGGGCAAGGTGGTGAGCCTGCCAATTCTGTTGTTCAATGGCAAATGCCAATCGAGCTCTATGGTGCCGGGCAGTGAGCACAGGGCCCACTAGAGCACATTGGCCCCTCAGGCCACCCTCATGAGGTCTGTTACTGATTATTTGGTCAGAGACATTCACACCAGTGGCCTGCTGGAGGTCATTTTGTGACTCTGGCAGTGCTCATCCTGTTCCTGCTTGTACAAATGAACAGATACTGCTCCTGCTGATGGGTTAAGGACCTGTCTCCTTCATGTTCCTTCATGCTCTTGAGACTGTGCTGGGAGACACAGCAAACCTTCTGGCAATGTATTGATGTGCCATCCTGGAGGAGTTGAAATGCCTGTGCAACCTCTGTAGGGTCCAGGTATCGCCTCATGCTACCAATAGTAACATTGACCTTAGCTAAATGCAAAACTAGTGAAAAACAGTCAGAATAGAGGAGTAGGGAACAAAAAGTCAGTGACCTTGACCTATAAAACTATTCCTATTTTGGGGTTTGTCTCATTGTTGCCCATCTAGTGCACCTGTTGTTAATTTCATTAACACCAAAGCATATTAAACTGATTAACAACCCCCTCTGCTACTTAACTGACCAGATCAATATCCCAGGAATTTAATTGACTTGATGCTATACTCTGAATAAAAGGTGTTCCTTTAATTTTTTGGAGCAGCATATATACTTTATAT